GTGAGGAGCTGCGGGCAGGCCTGCTTTTCGCCTCACCCGGCTCCCGCACAGCTAGCTTAGTCCCAGAAATAACAACACACAAATTGTATTCATTTAAACATTGCCTGGCCCATTATCTCTAGAGAGTTAGTTACTGACTAACTCTCATATCTTGATATTAACCCATTTTTAATAATCTGTGTAGCACCACGAGGTGGTGGTTTACCGGAAAAGATTCAGCATGTCTGACCTGGTGGCTGGCTCCAGGGCTTCTGCCTCATAGCCCTCTTCCCAGCATTCTGTTCTGCTTACTCCACCTACCTAATTTTTGTCCTATCAAGGGGCCAAGGCAGTCTCTTTATTGACCAATGAAAATAACACAATAGACAGATAACCCTCCTCCATCATTTCCCCTTTTTCTGTTTAAACAAAAAAGAAAGGCTTTCATTTTAACATAGTAAAATTACATGTAACAAAACAGTTATCAAGCAAGAATTACAGTCACAATATTTATAACTATATCTTTATCATAATAATGAAAAACTATAACTATGACTATCCATTCTTCAACTCCATCAAAGACTCCAGAAGGATATAATATTACCTAAGTAAACAAGAAGTAAGCAACTTCCAAAACTCTAGAAATGACAGAGACATCTCGCTGCCTGGACAGTCACCCAAAGTTCCTCTGTATCATTGGGGCATCCATTTTCGGCCTTTAGGCCCATAATATCCAGCAGACATTTCCATGAAGCAGGAAATTTCAAAGGCAGTTCAGTCACTATCTTCTGCGTCCTGCAGAATGTCTCACAGACTCTTTCATGAATCAGGAACCCCGAAAGATCATCTCACCTTTAGGCAAGTTCAGCAGTCCTCTCTCTGCGGGTTCTCTGTGTCCAGTTTATATAACAGTCCAGGCAAGAGCAGTTTCTTGCCCAAATGGCTAAAAAACTCCATAAGGAGCCTCTTCGATGCCCATCTTCCTCTTGAAGTAGATTGGTGCTGCCAGGAGCAGACGTGTCTCATTGTCATGAAAAGTCCTAAGTTATTAAAACATTAAATGCCATGTTCTGTAGTCTTTGAAAGATATGAATGTCTATCTGAAATATATCTATGCACTTCTAGAAAATCAGACTAACATTACTACAAGCTTGACTATTATCGATGATTATCCATTAACAACCTATATTTTTAATTATACATTGCATTTTTATATGAACTACACAATCAAAATCAGAAATATATACACATATAACAAAATTGACCTTAAAATCCATACCAATGCAAATTATTCCCATATCTATATCATATCCCCCTTTAAATGTAAAAGAACATTTGTAAGCAATATTTGGGAATATGGACGTAGTTATTTCTCTCCAAACTTCTTCCTGCTGTATAGGGGTGCAGTTAATCAGGTCTTTCATGGTATAACCTGTCTGCCAGGTTCATCTCAGTTGGCAGTTGAGTGAAGTAATTTCTTGAGGGTGTTCACAGAAACCTTTCAGGAGGGCATGGTCTATCATACCATATTGGGATAGAAGCAATCCACAGGGTCTCATCCTCTGTGAAAACAAAAGAAGAACCTCCTTTCCAAAGTATCATATCCTTAGATCCAAATTCAGAAGTCAAGGTATTTTCAACATATCTATCTTGGATTAGTTCAGCAGCATTTATAAACAAATATCTTTTAGCAGCTGTTGCTCCTTCCTCAGCATTCAAACAATTCAAAGAGAGCATAATAACATACAGTATCAAGATTCTCTTTGTATTTTCCATCTTTGTGTGGCTTTACTTTAACGTCTATTTCTTTTATTTTTACTTTTACTTTTTGAGACAGGTTCTCTGTATATCTTTGTCCTGGAATAACACTGTAGACCAGGCTGTCCTTGAACTCACAGAGATCCTTCTGTCTCTGCCTCCCCAGTACTGGGCTCAAAGGTGTTGGCTACCACACCTTGAACTCATAGAGATCCACGAGTCTCTGCTTCCCCAGTGCTAGGATTAAAGGTGTGTACCACCACACCCTATTTCTCCCTTTATTTCTTTTTTATTTTTAATGACTTTAACCTTTAGCCTGCATATATTTTTAACACATAGTAAACCATTTAGAGGTTTTCTTTGTCTTTGAACATCTCTTTACTGTATCTCTCTCTTTCTGACCACATGAGTCTAAAACCATGGCTTTGATGGCCGGATCTAGGCCATTCCTTAGCTTTCCAGACTCATGGCTGAGATACCAGCCAGAGCTGTGTTCACTGCCGCAACTCTATGGCGTTTCAAGGTCCTTGCTAGCAAGCAAGCTGCAGCATTCTGCTCACAGACCACACTCAGTCAGACTGCCTGCCTGAAAGAGTCAGAGATTGCCCTGGCAGGACGGGCCAGAAAGCCAGCATTTTAAAACAGTGCAGCTTTTTTCCTGCTACTGCTGAAAACCCGAAAAGCATGCGTTCAGCTTTTTGTCAACACCATTTAAGTGCTTCGTGGCAGGACCTCTTAAAAGAGCTGCAAGGTTTTGCAGCTAAAGCTGAGTCAGGAAGCCTCTCTTAGATGAGAGCATTTGCTTGCCTCTAGCAAGCAAAGTAGACCCGAGAAATTGCTGCTACCAACAAAACATGCTTTACTCTATTCTTTTCCAAGCTTTCTGTGGATTCAGTTATCCACGTCTGGGCGCCATATGTAGAGAGGGGCTGCAGGCAGGCCTACTTTTCATCCTGCCCAGCTCCCGCACGGCTAGCTTAGTCCCAGAAGTAATAACACATAAGTTGTATTCATTTAAATACTGCCTGGCCCATTATCTCTAGAGAGTTAGTTACTGGCTAACTCTCACATCTTGATTAACCCATTTCTAATAATCTGTGTAGCACCACGAGGTGGTGGTTTACCGAAAAAGATTCAGCATGTCTGACCTGGTGGCTGGCTCCAGGGCTTCTGCCTCATAGCCCTCTTCCCAGCATTCTGTTCTGCTTACTCCGCCTACCTAATTTTCTGTCCTATCAAGGGGCCAAGGCAGTCTCTTTATTGACCAATGAAAATAACACAATAGACAGATAACCCTCCTCCATCACTTCATAATTTGGCCTTCACACTTCCCTCCTTTTTATTAATCTTAATAAACCTGTGCTTCTGCAACAGGACCGATGATCGCGTCTGTCTTAGGCAAAGACTCCTTCATTTACTCAGACTTACCCACTTTTGGAACAGGCATTCTAATTATGCGAGTTCCTGTCTTGGGTATCTGGGGAGAAGAAGCTTCAAACCTGTCTCTGACTGCTGACCTCCGTGAACAACAGAGACTGAGGGAGAGAGATACCTTTGGGCTCTGTGCCCCGGAGTTGTACTTTCTCGTCTGGAGAGATTGTGTTTTAAGGATAATCATGCTCCTAAAGACTATAGTCTCCTATTTAAAGGAGAGGAGGTCACCTGAGTTGAAAGTGTTTCTTCAGCTGGTCTAGAGAACCTCTTAACAGTTTATACTGTATCAAAATCTAAACTCTTAACACATGCATTTAATCCAAACATTTACAGGGCATGCCAAACTATTCTCAACATCTTATAAGCAATTCCAAACATTACCAGGTCAATACCATAATTCTAGAATGGGAATTAACAATAAATCCGCAATTTAACATATCACAGCTTTCTGAAATCCATTCTAATCAAAAGACAAAAGTTTTTTTCTGGTGGGTGAGAGTCCAATGACATTACTGCTATCAACTACCCGTTCCAGTCTCTGAGCAGCTGTTAAACCCTTAGGCTGCCCCCTGCCCATAAGTGAAGAGGGCTTCAGTCATTCCTTATTTAGAGTCTTTTTCTCCCTGAGAAGAAAGTTTAGGTCTTAGTTCTCAGGTCCAATATTTTAATCAAAATGAGTTCTGTGTCCCAAAGATTAAAACAGTCACATGTTCAGCCTGCATTTCTAGTCCTCCTCCAATGCAAACAGGATTCAGACTGCAGAAAACTATAGTCATCACGGTCATCATAGCAGGACCTCTGTCACATGTGGGCCCCTAATGTCTGGAAGCAGCTTAGCATCCCTCAGTGCAGAATGGCATCGGCAGTTCCCATGGATCAGACACTCCTCTTTGTGAGCGCAGGGAAAGCAGGGCCACGGGTTTTTCTTAGTAACAGTTCTTGTTCTTATTTCCATGAACTTATTCTACCCATGGGACCACATGTGGTTTTGATACGTTTAATAGGAAGCTTATTCTAGAAAAAAGAAGAAGAAGAAGGAAGCTATCAAGAGAGTTTTTGATTGTTTCCTTTCCTAAAACCTCCTCAGATAGAAAAGTTTAACTTAGCGGACTCCTTTGGATTTTTTTCAAAGTCCTGTGCTACTGGAGGCTGCTCCCTACCCTGTAGAAAGCAGTGGGTCATCTTCTATTTGACACATCTTTTACTTAAATTTTGAAGTGAAGGCATTTTCAAAATACATAGGTTAGATTGAGTAGCATTTATAAAATTAATATCTTTTAGCAGCTGTTGCTCCTCAGCAGTCTAATAGTTAAAAGGCAACACAATAAAATAGACTATCCATATTCTCTGTGTATTTTCCATCTTTCTATGGAAGCTGTATCCATCTGTTTGTCAAAGTCATACTCAGGAATGGCTAGGGGTTGCAAACATCACCATTCTAAAAGTTGACCCACTGCTGTCTGAGGGTAGGGAGCAGCCTCCAGTAGCACAGGGCTTTGAAAGGAATCCAAAGGAGTCCGCTAAGTTAAACTTATCTGAGAGGGGGCTTTAAGAAAGGAAACACTCATACACCTTGATGCTTTCCTATTTTTTTCCCCTAGAAGAAGCTTCCTAATAAACGTATCAAAACCACATGGGGTCCTGCAGGTTTTACAAGTCCGTGGAAACGAGAACAAGATATCTTTCCCACCTGAAGCAGTTCTTTCAGAGAAACAGTTAAAATCCTTTCCAGGTGGACTGCTATCCCAGGGGCCTGTTGCAGGACTGGCGCCCAGAGGATCCTGAGGTGGCACCCATCCTCCCTGCCCCTGGCGCTGCCCTGGGCCAGCCCTGCCCTGCGGGTGTCATCTTCGGTAGCGGTAGCGCTTGAAGTAGAACCACAGCTGGAAGATGCCATTGGCAAACTGGCAGCGGAAGCCGTGGCGCTGCGAATACTCCCACTCGCCACTGACGATCTTGAAGGCGATGTCCTCGTAGGGCGGCCCAGCGTGGAAGCGCAGGATGGCGAAGTCGCGGTTGTCCGCGCAGGCCTCCAGGAAGTACTCCGGCGTGGCTTGCTTGCAGATGAGGTCGGGGTAGAAGATGTTGAACTTGTAGCCCTGCACGATCTTGGGCGGCGGGTTGTCGAAGTCGTAGTGCGTCTGGTTGTACTTGTTCCACTCGAAGCCCGTGTGCACGCGGTTGAAGAAGCGCGGCTTGCGCGGCCGGTACTTGTCTGCCCACAGGTAGGCGCGCGCGCCCAGCGGCATCTCCACGCTGAACTGTGCCTCGTCCTGCCCCAAGCCCTCTCGCGCGCGCTGCAAGAGGATGTCCTCGGCACTGTCGCCCGCGTCGCCTGTGGCCTGGAGCTGCAGCCGCGAATGCAGCAGGCGCTGAAGGTCCTCCTGCGGCTCCAGCACGTGTGCGTCCAGTGGCTGCTCGTGTGCCATGAGCAGCCGCGGGCTGTAGAGGCCTGCATCGTAGTAGTCTGCCAGGCTCTCCTGGATCGGGTTCTCCTCCATCTGCACCGCCTCGCCATTTCTGTCCATGTCCTTGTCCGCTTCCCCATCCCCAGGTGCCGGAGCCCCCTCGGATTCTTCAGGGTCCGCCGAGGGCCCGGGCCCGTGAATGGCCTTGGGCTCGGACTTGAGAATGGAGCACAGTGTCTCTCTGTCCACCCCCTGCTCCTGTTTCAGCTTGAGCATCTTTTGCCTCAGAACATCCTGGTGGCGCTCACGGAGCCTGGCCCTGGCCATGCGCGGGCGCAGCTGCTGCAGCAGGCTCTCCCAGTAACCCATGTCCAGGTTGGGGCCACCTGCTCGGATCTTGCCCTGGATGCCCTGGAAGATGACCTGCAGCTGGTTGTATGTCTTCCCCTTGAACACCGACTGCACATCGGAGCTGACCGAGGCGTTGATGCCCTCGCGGTGGCGCTCCCCTGGGCCCTTGCCTGAGGCCTCCAGCTTGCGGAGCTTGGAGATCTCATCCTCCGTGATGCTTGTCATGTTCCGCCAGAAGTCCACGTTCTTACCCTGCTCCAGGTCCATGTACACCTGGATGTCCTCCAGCAGGTCTTCCATGTCCGCCACTGTGAGGCCAATGAGGAAGGTGTAGGGCTCCTGCATCTCCACGGCTAGGTCGTCGTCCTCTGCCCTGATGTACTGGGCCAGCAGGTCGATGGGCTTAGCCCGCCCGGCTCGGATGCGGATCTTGGAGCGCAGCTTGGCCTGCTGCAGGTGGAAGCTGTCCTCCTGCTCCTCCCAGGACTTGAAGTGCTCGGCCTCTTTCTCCCTCTGCAGCAGCTCCAGCTCCTGCTCCCGCATGGTCTTCTCGCGCTCGCGCTCCTGCTGCAGCTGCTTCACCTTTTGGAGCTCCAGCTGGTTGCTCTCCTGGATCTTCTTGTTGCGTTCCTTCAGCTCTTTCTCGTCCAGGTGGCTGATACCCTTCTTCTCCAGTGCCTTGTGCCAGATGAAGGTGCCCAGTAGATTGCTGTCTCCAAAGGGGTTGTCGGCGTTGGTGTAGCCCACATAGTCCTCACTCCAGCCCATCCTCTCCCGTTTCTTGCTCTCCTTAGCTTTCTTCTTGGCTAGTCGTCTTGCACGCTTCTCCTCTGGCGTCTCGAGGGCTTTGAACAGCTCTTCTTGCTGCCTCTGCTTCTCATGGGGCCGCAGCCGCTGCTGCAGGTTCCCTGGCTGGCTCGGGGCCAGGTCAGCTGTCCCAGGGCTTGGAGAGCATCTTGGGGATTCTGAACTAGATGCCCATGACCCTGGGGACCAGGAGCGCCGCCGCCGATTCTGCGGGACCCAGGAGCTGCGCTCCTCACTGGAGTCAGACTGTAAGGACTGGTCCTGTGAGTGCCGTCGGGGTGGCCGAGGGCTCCGGCTTCGCCTCCCAGACCTTTGCATCAGGTCTCCCTCTAAATCTGACCTGTGCCCCCGGCTGTGCCGCGGGCCTTTATGCCTCCTCTTGTACTCCTGATGCCACTGGCTACTCTGTCCATGACTCTGGCTGTGGCTCTGGTTCCACCTTTGCTGCCTCCGACCCCTGCTCCCTGTGGACCTTGAGCACGAGCGAGTGTGGTGACCCATTTAGCAGATGGCTACCTTCTTTATTCTCTGCTCTTTTGTGTTCTTTCTAGGTTCTTTCTTTGTTCTTTCTACCCTATACTTTTTCCCCCGCAAGTTTATAGACTCCGAGGCAGCACAATTAATAAAAAAAAAAAAAGCACAGAGACAGTTATTGGAGTTCAAGCTGAAGATCAGAAAAACAAAGCAGCCAAATCACAAGAGAGTTCTTAACTCTACCACGGCTCAGACAAAGGGGCTAGCTATGCTGTCCTCGGAGTGACTGCAGTCTGCAAAGCTCTCCACCAAACCTGGGACTGCAGGGAGGCTGCGCCAAACAACAGCCTTATATAGAGTCCTCTCTAGTGCTGGGATGGAGGGCGTGTCATCCCAAATCCTGAGATCAAAGGTGTGGCCTTGAACTCAGAGAGATCTGCCTGCCTCTGCCTGCCTCTGCCTTTAGTCCTGGGATTAAAGGTGTGTTATCCTAAATGCTGAGATCAAAGATGTGAGCTCTGTTTTCCTTGTAGACGGATTTACTCTCAAGTAGCCCCAGGTGACCTTGAACTCAGAGAGATCTGTCTGCCTGACTGAAATTAAAGGCGTGTGCCACCACTGCTTCTGTGGCTAACTAGTGGCTTGGCTCTGCACACGGATCTTCAAGCAAGTTGTTTGTTTTTGTTTCTGTTGTTTTTTTTTGAGACAGGGCTTCTCTGTAGCTTTGGAGCCTGTCCTGGAACTAGCTCTTGTAGACCAGGCTGGTCTTGAACTCACAAAGACCTGCCTGCCTCTGCCTCCCGAGTGCTTGAATTAAAGGCCTGTGCCACCACCGCCCGGCATTCAGGCAAGTTTTATTTGTTAGATTCCAAACAAAATAGCACCACACCAAGAACCCACATACATTCACAGCCAAGCAACTTGGTACAGATTAACTGTGTGGTAAGCAAGGTGTTCTGGTCCAGTCATTCAGTGGCAGGCGGCACTTTGAAGTCATAAAGAAAGGGCCAATTACTTTATTACTTATTTTGCAATGTAATCTTATGAGGAGTCCTAAAGGAACCACAAACCTAAACTTTTATGTGTGAAAAGATCAGTCAGCTCTACTTTAAGACTTCAGGGCACACAGCGACTCAGCAATGGTTTTCTATATCAGGAGATTGAGGGCAAAAATGGGAATGAGGAATTAATTATCGCCTTAGCTTGTTAACCAGACCTAGCAAGGGGAGCTAGCCACAATCAGGCCATTTTGTATCCTTGACCCTAGCCTTGTAAGTCAGACAGCTCAGCTGTGTGTCCTTGTGAAGCTTAGCTGGTTTTCTAGGGTTGTTTCTCTGAAAACTATCAGCAAGGCATCTGGTCTAACCTGATGTTCCCTTGAAGCTTTGTCTTAGCTAGTGCTATGTGACTGCCTCTTTCCAGCAGTAAGGGAATTAGAGCCAGCCTGGCTCCTGGACTCAGGTGATTTCATTTGAAACATTAACCTGAGCAGTTCCCAATGGGGAACTCATAGGCCTGAGTTGTGAAACACACCCTTGTATTTATTTTTACTTTATTTTATTGCGTTCATCAAAGTTCTCATTATTCTTATCAAATTAGGCAGTACAGCTTAGGGAGGGGTCATCCATCTTCTTAACAACCCAAAGGTAAAAATGTCCAGTAGAAGTGAAGAGTCCAGATATAAGAAAATAAAAATAAAGAAATATAAAGAAATGTAAAAATAAAGAAATATAAAGTTGTAAGTCTAGGAGAATAAGAACAGACTATCAGCTGCTTTCTCAGCAGATCAAGGATCATTCATTCACAGTGAGCTATTTTCTCAGATGTTTGGGAAGCGTAGGTCATTTTACAACTGGCTGTTTTATTTACAAGGCCAGAGTGTCTCTCTACAAATTAAGAGCAGTGTCCTGACCATCCTTAATAAACAGTAGATGTGAACTGAGTTTAACCTTTAGGAGACAGAGATATGTGACCTCTGGGTCAGACACCGTCTGTGTTATGGGAAACTGGCACCACCAGAGGAGAGGCATGACCTCAGTTTACACCCGGAGGTACCAGGAGACAGTGGATAAATAAAATGGTTTAATTAATAAACTCTGATAATGGAGATTGTAAAATATGGCAGTCAATATCTAAAAATTTACCTAAAAATAATGTGAAAGGCTTTTCTTCTAAGTTCTCAGCCCAAGAACCAGTTAATCCTAATTTATTAACCTTCTAGTGTTACAGGCAGCCCCTTTTCTGATGAATTGCTAAAGATATCTGTTTATGTTGCTAATATTTCTTCTTGGGAGGAGAGGTTAGCTCTGTCTACCTCTCAGGTCCCTGAGAAACCAAGGCACAGGTCAATCCAAGTTCACTATTTATCAGACTTCCTTACAGACCATCTGTGAGGGTTTACTTACAGGGGTGTGGGCACTCCTTCCTTATGAGCCACATTTGGAAAGCCTTACCCAGTAGGAGGAAGGGCTCCCATACCCACATAGATGAAGCCCCCCTCCCTCCCGCCAACCCACCAACCCAGCACCTCTTTTGGGGAACTGAGTAAGCCCCATGTGGCTGTGTAAATAGCAGATGAGGTCCTGAGGGAATGCGTAGGTGTGCACTGTTGAATCAAGGACCAGTGCCTCAGTCCCATGGGGTTTGGCAGAGTCTTCCATGGGGTGAGGCTCAGAGGGATGTGAAGGCCTTCCTCTGGAGTGTGACTGTGGACCGTGTGTGCAAACATGAATACTTAGGAAGGACTGATTAGTGTGTGCAAAGTGCACATGGCAATTGCAGCCTCCTTCTCCCAGACATTACAGCCTGGGGCTGTTCAACTACAGACAGATTAGCTCCTGCTTCCTGCTGTTCTGTGCGTGATAAACATGCTGAGGTTCTGGGTTGTTTCTGTACTTGATGCCATTTCACAGAGTGGCCTTGGCCCACCGGACTCCAGCTTTTCAGGAGGACGTGTGTCCATCCATTCTTCCATCCCTGTTTGCTGCAAGTCAGGCCAAGTCTCAGCTGAGCTGGCAGCTGTGCCCTTTGATGTGTGTGTGTATGTACACGTGTGCGTGTGTGTCAGGTCAAGTCTCAGCTGAATTTGCAGCTGTGCCCTCTGTTCTTTGCTTGTGTGTTTGTTTGTGTACGTGTTTTGTGCATATGTGCAAAGAAGGGTATATGAGTATGTATGCATGTGTGTGTGTGCATGTGTGTATGTGCACACTCCAGTTCTTCCTCCAGGCCATGTGCAAGGTTTCCAGATGGTAGAGAGGAGCTGGACACTTAGGGGTGGGGTGTAAACTCTCATTGAACCAACTGAGGTTCTGTTTAGCAACGGGGAGGCACACTACCTGCTCAAAGATGGCAGTTGCTTGGCTCAGAGGTCAGTCACAATAGTTTAGTTCTTTAGAGGAGGAGATGTTAAAGTAGTAAGCAGGTAAGGCTTCTTAAGAGAAAACTCTAAGGAACAGAATCTCCTGCCTGAGTGGGGCAACATTCCAGCTGGGCCTGGCCAATTGACAGGAGTCTTGGGGGCAGGGGGGACAACCAACCAACCAACCAACCAACCAAATAAAACAGAGAGAATAATGAAAAATTCATTCTTAGGGCCCTTTTCCAGAGGCTCAATAAAACACTCTCACCAAATGATTCCAGGAACTTATCATAATACTATTTTTTTTGTTTATGCAACTTTAAAAACTTCATATGCTGGCCAGGTTTAAAGAAAAAAATGTATATTGGGGGAATTGTGAGTTGGTTTTGTTTCGTTTTGTTTTTTCCTGTCAAAAGTTTGTTAGCTTGCTAAACATACTCACTCATCGATAGTTTTTTATATCAGGAGATTGAGGGCAAAAGTGGGTATAAGGAATTAATCATCGTGTTTGGTTATTAACCAGACCTAGCAACAATCAGGCTGTTTTGTATCTTTGACCCTAGCTAAGCCTAATAAGTCAGACAGCTCAATGGGCTAATAATGGGCTATACAAGTTATAAGAGTTAATAAGAAGCCTGAACTAATGGGCCAATCAGTTTGTAACTAATGCAGACCTCTGTGTGATTTCTTTGGGACTTAACGACTGTGGGAACCAGGTAGGATAGAAACCCCAGAAAAACCTCAGACAACAAATGGTGCCCCAAATCTATTTACACCATGCTATATAACAGAATATAGCATGAATAATAAAAACCAGACACAGATATTAGGATTAAACCTGAAGATCAGAAATGCAAAGCAGCCAGCCATTGGCTCTTACCTCTGCCTCAGACCAAAATGGCCATCCTGCCTCCACGAATTCTCAGAATGAAACTGAGCATGAGACCTGTCTCTTCCTTTTTATCTTCCTCTGGTGCTGGGATTAAAGGCATTACCACTATCACCTGTTTTTTTTTAGAGCAACTAATGTGGCTACTGGGATTAAAGGTGTGTATCACCACTGCCTGGTTTGTGAGACTGACCAGAGTGGCTGTTTTACTCTCTGACCTTCAGGCAAGCCTTATTTATTAAGACACAAATGAAATAGCACTACACTTCGCCTTGTTGTCTAAAATAAAAAAGAAGGCTATAACTAATATAAGAAAAATTTTATATACTAAGTACAATACCATATGCAATATATACAGGCAGTAAATACATCAATAGTGTTTAGTCCATTTGCCTTTGACAAATTCAGAGAAAATACTCCATATCCATTCTGTCTTGGCGAGTCCAAAGTCTTGTGCCTAATTTACTTTCTTTCATAACTTGCACTACTATTTCAAACTATCTTTTGATATCTCTCAATCTTATATTCTTTATATTTCTCTTCTGAGTCTCGTAAACAATGAAAGATATGACTGTCTAGTCTTTAACTTCCTCGGAGACCCAACGAAAAAATAAATTGACTGAGTAAGCATGAAGTGTAAGCAAGGGTCTTCCAAAAACTGTGAGAAATGACAGAAACAGATGGCTGCCTGGACAGTCACCCAGTGTTCCTCTGCAACGTTAGGGCCTCCATCTTTGGCCCACAGGCCTAGAATATCTGACAGACTTTTCTATGAGGCAGGGTTTTTGAATGACTGTCCCTGCCTTGTCTCGGCAAGGTTTGGCAGTCACTGTCTTCTGTGTCCTTCTTGTCCCATTAGGACAGCATATTATCACGAGTTGAGGAAAGGGCATTTTGTTATTTTGTTGCCCAGTGTCTTTTACCATGAAGAAAGTAAACTCCATGTGGAGTTTCTTCATTACCCATCATCTTCTCTGAAGTAGGTTGGTGCTACTAGGAGCAGACATGTCTCATTGTCAGAAAAAAAAAGAAAAAATAACCTCTGTTATGAAAACATCTTAAATGCTATATTCTTTAGTTTTTGAAGATGACCTGTCTATCTAAAATATATCTTTATTTGACCTAGAAAGCATACCTAATGTGCCTATAAGTTTGATTATAACAGGTGATTAACTACTATCCTGCATTTCCTTATTATCCTAAACAGTTGGTAATAATAATTTTCAAGGACTATAAATTTGTATTACATTGGTAAATGAGTTGTATAGGTACAATACCATGAACAAGAGTAGAAATGTATGTACAGTTTGTTCTAACAAAATGAATCTTTAATTTGTATTAATACACAAAATTTGTATACAATATACAAAAATCCAATCCAATGTAAAACTTTTAAAGCTGGTAGTTGCTTTTTAAAGGTAGATTTGATAATCTACCTTTTTATCTTATATCTATATCTGTAAGGCCCAGGCCTTCC